TATCATATCGTTGTTTAGTTTGTGTGAACGAGGAACGAGGTACAGATCGTCTTAGCCCACTTTCGTGATTGTGGTACCGGGGTTACGTCCTAACTACTGCTTCAACTCTATCTACGGCGGTACACTTTTGCCACCGATGTTGGAAGGATGATGATGTCTTTAACGTTTGTTGTGGTGGCAATGGCAAAACCTTCCACTGTTTTTCTTGTAGTTAGGCTCGAAGTGGCGAACCAAGGCTTCATCCATAGATACAAATAGTTGCAAGAACCTTTCTGAATCAGCCTCAAACGATATGTTGTACCATATCAAGCTTTGGAACCCATCGAGTTGATACCTTATTCATTGAAAAAGTTTCGTTTATGATATAATGTGATCAATGGAAAATGGACACACTTTGAGAACGTGCAGTGTCCGTGTACTTTCCTTTTTAATTATCTCGTGTGTGTGTGTGTGTGTGTGTGTGTGTGTGTGTCTGTTTGTTTGGGTGTGTTTTTTTGTGTTTTTGTTGTTGTTGTTGATATTGCTGGAATATTGCTCAAAGCAGTGCAAAGCCATGTCCTATCAGGTATATGACTGATACAACTGACTGACAGACTGAGTTTAGTTTTACGCCGCTTTATCAATATTCCAGCAATATCACGGCGGGGACACCAGAAATGGGCTTCACACATTGTACTGATACAAAACCGTTAATGTTACCACAACTGACCGAAATACACCACTTTCACACAAGAATATATTATATGAAAAACAACAATTAAGTGCTCAATCTTAATTTATCGAATGTCTGCCTTTTCAACAATCAAGTTTATCCCCAAACCTTGGAAGGGTGACCGTTCAATCAGCGGTCATGATCAATCCCAATTCGTTACAATGATGATACTGATTATTTCCCTGCCTTGTGCTGATTTCATGTGTAAAATACTTGTAAAGTCAGCGTTAGCCCGAGTAAATTCAAGGAACCAGGCTCCTCTGTTCACAACCTCACTCAAACCTGAACCTAAACAAATGTCACCATAAACACCGTTCATACTGGCGTTAAATCCATCTCTCTCTACTCACACTCTACAAGCTCACTGACTCATACAAGCGTTAACCAACTGCCTCACTCACTCTACAAACTCGCTTGTCATGATGTTACCCTAAACACCGTTCATACTGGCGTTACATCCATCTCCCTCACTCACTCTACAACCCCACTTGTCATGATGTTACCCTAAACACCGTTCATACTGGCTTTAAACCCATCCATATCCCTCACTCACTCTACAACCTCACTTGTCATGATGTTACCCTAAACACTGTTCATACTGGTGTTACATCCATCTCCCTTACTCACTCTACAACCTCTCTCTTGTCATGATGTTACCCTAAACACCGTTCATACTGGCCTTAAATCCATCTCTCTCACTCACTCTACAAGCTCACTGACTCATACAAGCGTTAACCAACTGCCTCACTCACTCTACAAACTCGCTTGTCATGATGTTACCCTAAACACCGTTCATACTGGCGTTACATCCATCTCTCTCACTCACTCTACAACCCCACTTGTCATGATGTTACCCTAAACACCGTTCATACTGGCTTTAAACCCATCCATATCCCTCACTCACTCTACAACCTCACTTGTCATGATGTTACCCTAAACACTGTTCATACTGGTGTTACATCCATCTCCCTTTACTCACTCTACAACCTCTCTCTTGTCATGATGTTACCCTAAACACCGTTCATACTGGCGTTACATCCATCTCTCTCACTCACTCTACAAACTCACTTGTCATGATGTTACCCTAAACACCGTTCATACTGGCGTTAAATCCATCTCTCTCACTCACTCTACAAGCTCACTGACTCATACAAGCGTTAACCAACTGCCTCACTCACTCTACAAACTCGCTTGTCATGATGTTACCCTAAACACCGTTCATACTGGCGTTACATCCATCTCCCTCACTCACTCTACAACCCCACTTGTCATGATGTTACCCTAAACACCGTTCATACTGGCTTTAAACCCATCCATATCCCTCACTCACTCTACAACCTCACTTGTCATGATGTTACCCTAAACACTGTTCATACTGGTGTTACATCCATCTCCCTTACTCACTCTACAACCTCTCTCTTGTCATGATGTTACCCTAAACACCGTTCATACTGGCGTTACATCCATCTCTCTCACTCACTCTACAAACTCACTTGTCATGATGTTACCCTAAACACCGTTCATACTGGCGTTAAATCCATCTCTCTCACTCACTCTACAAGCTCACTGACTCATACAAGCGTTAACCAACTGCCTCACTCACTCTACAAACTCACTTGTCATGATGTTACCCTAAACACCGTTCATACTGGCGTTACATCCATCTCCCTCACTCACTCTACAACCCCACTTGTCATGATGTTACCCTAAACACCGTTCATACTGGCTTTAAACCCATCCATATCCCTCACTCACTCTACAACCTCACTTGTCATGAAGTTACCTAAACACTGTTCATACTGGTGTTACATCCATCTCCCTTACTCACTCTACAACCTCTCTCTTGTCATGATGTTACCCTAAACACCGTTCATACTGGCGTTACATCCATCTCTCTCACTCACTCTACAAACTCACTTGTCATGATGTTACCCTAAACACCGTTCATACTGGCGTTAAATCCATCTCTCTCACTCACTCTACAAGCTCACTGACTCATACAAGCGTTAACCAACTGCCTCACTCACTCTACAAACTCGCTTGTCATGATGTTACCCTAAACACCGTTCATACTGGCGTTACATCCATCTCCCTCACTCACTCTACAACCCCACTTGTCATGATGTTACCCTAAACACCGTTCATACTGGCTTTAAACCCATCCATATCCCTCACTCACTCTACAACCTCACTTGTCATGATGTTACCCTAAACACTGTTCATACTGGTGTTACATCCATCTCCCTTACTCACTCTACAACCTCTCTCTTGTCATGATGTTACCCTAAACACCGTTCATACTGGCGTTACATCCATCTCTCTCACTCACTCTACAAACTCACTTGTCATGATGTTACCCTAAACACTGTTCATACTGGCGTTAAACCAAACTCACTCACTGACTCTACAAACTCTCTTGTCATGATGTTACCCTAAATACCGTTCATACTGGCGTTAAATTCATCTCCCTCACTCACTCTACAACCTCTCTTGTCATGATGTTACCCTAAACACTGTTCATACTGGCGTTACATCCATCTCCCTCCCTCACTCTACAACCTGTCTTGTCATGTTGTTACCCTAAACACCGTTCATACTGGTGTTACATCCATCTCTCTCTCTCAGATTTAGGGCACTAACAAGTTTTCCGAATGGTTACTGTCTAGAACTTTGTGCATTATTAATAACATTAATTCATAAACAACCTTTCAAGCCAGGAATCGCGTTTTGTGTGTTCAAATCCCAGGTCTTAATGCGAACCAGGAATCGTCTTTTGTGTCTTCGAATCCCAGGTCTTGTGCGAACCAGGAATCGTGTTTTGGGGGTTGGAATCCCAGGTCTTGTGCCAACCAGGAATCCTGTTTTGTGTGTTGGAATCCCAGGTCTTGTGCCAACCAGGAATTGCGTTTTGTGTGTTCGAATCCAAGGTCTTGTGCGAACCAGGAATCGCGTTTTGGGTGTTCAAATCCCAGGTCTTGTGCCAACCAGGAATCGCCTTGTGTTGTTCGAATCCCATGTCTTGTTTGAACCAGGAATTGCGTTTTGTATGTTCGAATCCCAAGTCTTGTGTGAACCAGGAATTGCGTTTTGTGTGTTCGAATCCCAATTCTTTTGCGAACCAGGAATCGCGTGGTGTGTGTTTGAATCCCAGGTCTTGTGAGTGAGCGAGTTTAGTTTAATGCCGTTTTAACGCAATATTCCAGCAAATATCAAGGCGGGGACACCACAAATGGGCTTCACACATTGTACCCATGTGGGGATTAAACCCATGTGTTCGGCGTGACAAGTTAAGGCTTTAGGCACCAGGCTACCCTACCATCCTCTAAATGTTACTGAACTAGTAGCTGCATAGCTGTGTTAAATCACATTCTATTCTGCTGCATCGGGGATTGTTATAGAGAGGAAAAGAATACAAACACACAAATCATCAATAATACAAGCATTATTTTAATTCATGTATTTACTTTACGAAGAAGAAAGGACGGCATGTAATGCCATTGCCAAAACTAAAGGCTATTTATAACATTTAGTTTTAAGATTACACTTTCTCAGTAAAATGCAGATTCTAGGACTTTTCTTAGGTTCAGTCCCATACGGGATTTGAACCCACATCGTCAGAGTCAGGCACCTCAGGCATCTCAAAGCACCAAGTGTGAACTTTCTTTTGCACGTCAGTGTAATACTAGCTAGCTGAAGTATAAAAGTTATTAGGAAGTAATATTTCTTATAAATGTTCCATTAGTAAACTCATAAGAGCAAATAACATGCATAATGATTGGTATTAGAGTGTTTTCTATACAGGGATATTCATTTTGCTGTTATGTGTTTACTAATGGAACATTTATCAGAAATATTACTTATTAATACCTTTTATATGAAGAATATAATATCAAAATTGACAAAAACTATGCAGTTATGGAATATATTTAATCATTTCAAATAAACTGGGCTATTCTGACTACCCCTTTGGGAAATTTGACAAATATCCGGGCCAATTTGACCAAATTTGCTGGGGTATTTTGGAGCTGGCTCAATTCGACTGGTACCCTCGTCACCAAGATAATACCTCGGACACCATGGAAATATTGACGGTGCGTGTATTCACTGGAAGCAACACGGACTGATTCCTCGGTATGTGGTTTGTACAACATGGCGGACGATTTTGATAACATAATCATGGTGAAAATACATTCACTTTCATATAAAGCAATAATCACACAAATTGGTCACGGCCATTTTCATATTGGGCCACGTGAGTTAGGAAGCCAGAGACTTCAATAGGGCAGTGTTAGTATATAAGGGCCGTGACTTCTGCCATATTGTGTCATGTGACAGTCACGTGAATTGTGAAACTAGTGACTCTAGATCCAGTATGGATTCTTCCAGATGCTCTCCGAGATGTCATATATTGGATGGAGATGACCAAAATGCAGTCTAGTCTTAACGAGGGGAGTCTTCCTCATCACTCATGTCTTGGTGATGCCTCAGAAACATCTCCTCCGCCTCATGGAACGCCATCTTGTTCATCCAGTAACTATGTTTGGAGAGTACATTGTTTGAGCTGAAACCAAGAATTCGTGAGTGAAAGTATGTTTCAACACTATACAGTATTGATGTAGTCTCAAGATGTTGCACATCCATGTCTTTACATGTAAATCTATATGAGGATTTGAACTATACCTGCGGGTGACATATTTAAACGAGGTGGCCATCGAATATCGCTACTGGTGTCTCCAAGTATGTCACATCTGCGTTTAACAACAGGAAGTACGTTTGTAGGTGTCATGATAAAACATAACCAGTATGAAGTTTTCAAAAAGATTTAGAAAACAATCCATATTTTGTCTCTTGATTAACCATAACTGATCCATCTCAAACATTCCTGTAATACCTTTTCCCATTGACAAACTCCACTTCTAGCTTTTGATCGTCTCCATCTCTGTGGACATTTTTCACTTGACCCGGAAGGAAATGTATTCTGTCAGGGTCAGCAAGTGCCAGGATGTAGCTGCCGACCTTGAACTTGATGATAGGGGTGTATGTTCCATAGATGTGGATGGACATCTGTTCGCTGCAATGGCCATCGCCCCATCTCACGGAATATTTCTGCTGACGTCCCATCTGTTTTTCTATTGTACCTATAAACGTAGATATAGTATTTGCTTAGCAGCCACTAGTTCATTCATGGCAGACAGTATCGTGTCTATGGTGTTATAAGTATGCCTGATAACCTACATTGTCTGAATACGCCTGATTTGTCTCTGGTAACCTACCTGTCTGTACACGTCTGATTCATCTCTGTTGACCTACCGAGTCTGTATACCCCTAATTCGTCTCTGGTGACCTACCCAGTCTGTATACCCCTGATTCATCTCTGTTGACCTACCCAGTTTGTAAACCCCTAATTCGTCTCTGGTGACCTACCCAGTCTGTATACCCCTGATTCGTCTCTGTTGACCTACCCAGTCTGTATACCCCTAATTCGTCTCTGGTGACCTACCCAGTCTGTATACCCCTGATTCGTCTCTGGTCACCTACCCAGTCTGTATACCCCCTGATTCATCTCTGTTGACCTACCCAGATTGTAAACCCCTAATTCGTCTCTGTTGACCTACCCAGTTTGTAAATCCCTAATTCGTCTCTGGTCACCTACCCAGTCTGTATACCCCTGATTCATCTCTGTTGACCTACCCAGATTGTAAACCCCTAATTCGTCTCTGTTGACCTACCCAGTTTGTAAACCCCTAATTCGTCTCTGGTCATCTACCCAGTCTGTATACCCCTGATTCGTCTCTGGTCACCTACCCAGTCTGTATACCCCTGATTCATCTCTGTTGACCTACCCAGTTTGTAAACCCCTTATTCGTCTCTGTTGACCTACCCAGTTTGTAAACCCCCTAATTCGTCTCTGGTCACCTACCCAGTCTGTATACCCCTGATTCGTCTCTGGTCACCTACCCAGTCTGTATACCCCTGATTCATCTCTGTTGACCTACCCAGTTTGTAAACCCCTAATTCGTCTCTGTTGACCTACCCAGTTTGTAAACCCCTAATTCGTCTCTGGTCACCTACCCAGTCTGTATACCCCTGATTCATCTCTGTTGACCTACCCAGTTTGTAAACCCCTAATTCGTCTCTGTTGACCTACCCAGTTTGTAAATCCCTAATTCGTCTCTGGTCACCTACCCAGTCTGTATACCCCTGATTCATCTCTGTTGACCTACCCAGTTTGTAAACCCTAATTCGTCTCTGTTGACCTACCCAGTTTGTAAACCCCTAATTCGTCTCTGGTCACCTACCCAGTCTGTATACCCCTGATTCGTCTCTGGTGACCTACCCAGTCTGTATACCCCTGATTCATCTCTGTTGACCTACCCAGTTTGTAAACCCTAATTCGTCTCTGGGTGACCTACCCAGTCTGTATACCCCTGATTCGTCTCTGGTCACCTACCCAGTCGGTATACCCCTAATTCATCTCTGTTGACCTACCCAGTTTGTAAACCCCTAATTCGTCTCTGTTGACCTACCCAGTTTGTAAATCCCTAATTCGTCTCTGGTGACCTACCCAGTCTGTATACCCCTAATTCGTCTCTGGTGACCTACCCAGTCTGTATACCACTGATTCATCTCTGTTGACCTACCCAGTTTGTAAACCCTGATTCGTCTCTGTTGACCTACCCAGTTTGTAAACCCCTAATTCGTCTCTGGTGACCTACCCAGTCTGTATACCCCTGATTCGTCTCTGGTCACCTACCCAGTCTGTATACCCCTGATTCATCTCTGTTGACCTACCCAGTTTGTATACCCCTAATTCGTCTCTGGTGACCTACCCAGTCTGTATACCCCTGATTCGTCTCTGGTCACCTACCCAGTCGGTACACACCTGATTTGTCTCTATGACCTACCAATTCTGTATACCCCTGACTCTTCTCTGTGACCTACCCGGTCTATTACACGCCTGATTCGTCTCCGGTGACCTACCTGTCTGTACACATCTGATCCGTCTCTGGTGACCTACCCAGTCTGTACAACCCTGGTTCGTCTCCGTTGACGTACCTAGTTTATACACGCCTGATTCGTCTCTGATGAAAGCCTCCAGTCCCTCCCAGTCTTTCTCTCGCTGGCGAATCTCCGCCACGTCCTTGTCATGTTTCGCTCGGTCCCTGGCAGCGTACACGTCCCATCTGTTGATGTTTTTCTGATTGTTGTCATAGAAACGGACAGTTAGATGCTGATCAAGCGTTTCTACCACCCGACCAGGGGCGTAGCTCCAGTAGTAGATAGGGTGTGGGGCCAGTACACAGCCACTGGCTCTCTGTGACAGAAAGAAAACTCAATTATGAGGCACGGATTTACACAACAGAGGTGGTTACACAGAGGATCAAAACACTTCAACATGTTAATCAAATTAATGGAAACGTCAGTACGTTCCCGCGCTTGTTATATTCAAGCTATAATCGGAAGAAGATCAAGGTGGACCCCTACTCAGGCCTACCAAAGAAAACTTTCCCCACTGTGCAGAAAAACGCAGAAAACCCACATTAATCGTGGAAATAGCAACATAAACATAATACCTCGCTACTGAAACAGTAAAACGGCAACTTTAAATCGCTGAATCGGGATAAAAACGAAGAGCCTGCAGCTTCGATTTTGCGCATGCGCACATGGAAGAGGAAGTCTCGACCGCATGTTGACATTTTCTAGCTTAGACAAAAGTAACATTCCCTTTTTATAGTATTTGTGATGTGTTATTTGGCATTTATCATCATCATACTTGTGTGCACACTTGTTTAGTTTACTTTCCATTCGTATGAAATGATTGACAGCAATTATTTCGACATATTCAATACTTTTTCTACGCGAGGCGATTCAAGATTGCTCGGAAATTTGAGAAGCGCGGGTCGTAATGGGCATGCGCAGTAGAGGTCAAAATTCGCTGATACAAAAAATGTTTCATAGTCTTTCGTAGCCGTTTGTACTGTTTATGTTGCTATTTCCACGATTAATGTGGGCTTATCTGGGTTTCTGCACAGTGGGAAAGTTTTCTTTGGAAGGCCTGCCACTGCTAAGCTAGATCGCGAGCATGATGCTGCTCTGAAATGAATGAGTGAGTGAATTTTAGGTTTACGCCGCTTTTAGCAATATTCCAGCAATATCGGGGGACACCAGAAATGGGCCTCACACGAGTGTACCCATGTGGGAAATCGAAATAACAGAAATATTTCCTCAGTAAACCTATTCAAGTGTTACCTTGTGAGAGGACACAGTGTCGTAAGGATCAGTTATCCGGACGATATCTTCCCCACTGATGATGTCATCTCGGCCTGTGGTATCTTTCACCTTGTAGCTGTATTTATCCATGCACTGGACAATCCTTCCTGAAATGTTGAGTGGGGAATCAAACCCGGGTCTTCGATATGAAAACACCCAAACAAAACCTCCTCACCGTCATCAAATGTCTACTAGGATTAGTGACAGGCGGTGACTGACTAATGACCAGGGTGCTTGCTTATGAAGCCACGATGCCAACAGACTCCTAAAACTAATCCTATCGGCAATGTTTCCTACCTTTGTAGTACAATCGGTAGTCCTCCCACCGGGCCAAGACCTCCTCACCTCATTAAAGAGTCTAGTGGTGTGACGATCCATCGATACGCATCGATGCATCGATCCATGGGCCGCCGATACAGTGAATCGATACGCTATTTTAAATGAGCCACAATACATCGATATTTAGCTTTGAATATTGCCGAATCGCGATATCTGTCAAGAAAAAGACTTACTTTTGTTTGATGATTAAAATATATGCTTACTTATTTTCCCTTCATAAGTAAACATTTTCTCCGAAATTCTTGCGTTCAAGAACTGTACATGTGTCAGACATAGCACTCGCATGTTATCAACATTCACAAAGTCCGTGTATAAACTTAAAGTATCTTCTTTCCGAATGAACATTGAACGACGCTGGCGGAATTTGACGAAATACTTTATAACTGGTTTTGTTTTGATCTTAAAGGAGTTTTATAGTTAGTGTTAGAATTAAAGGTTTTAGTATCGTGATACGTAATGTATCGCCACCCTTATATAGGGATTCGTATCGTATCGCTGCTTCAGTGCACAATACTTTGGCAATATATATTCGTGACGAGACTTTCAGTATCGTGATGTATCGTATCGCAGGTTATATGCAAATACCAGCACTATTAAAGACTGGATAGGTGCTCGCTTATGAAGCCACAATGCTAACAGACTCCTAAAACTAATCCTATCCGCAATGTTCCCTACCTTTGTGGTACCATCGGTCGTCCTCCCACCGGGCCAGAACCTCCTCACCAGGTACGAGTGGTGGTGGGTCACTGGTTTGTACGTGTCTGTGGGTTTGGTTTCTGGAACATATTCTATTTTGCCTGAACACCACAGATATCCTTCACAGTGCTGTGCGTGGAGTACTATAAAAGTCAGAATTTTGTTGGATCGATGGATTGTGTATCGTATGCCCCAACAGTATAAAATACAGGTGGTGTTTCTCCGGGGTTTTACATTTTTTGCGCTTTTCATTTCTCGAACAAATGATACATTCTTACTGACACGCTTTGTCCAGGTATCAATACTAATTTAAGTTAGTGGGGTAAATATGGAAATAATTATGTACATGTAGCTTTCCCACCTCATTTCCCCAATTTGACTATATTTGTCCGATCATTCAACATGAAAAAGCGAATGTAAATGCTTTTTACAGCAAAATAATTGAGGAGTTGATCCTGGAACAAAAGATTAAAACACTCTTTGGATCACTACTTATTCTTGTCAGGGTGAGGCAACTAAATTCAACTATTGATATTCTGTTCTCTTACTTTTTAACAGAGTCAGTCTATCAGTTTCATATCAAATTTCGTGAAAACTTTCTAAAAAAGTTTTCTTTGCTTCTATATAAATAGATTCTGCTTTTCTTAATGATAAATGACAAATGTGTGATTATCGGAAATGTATTAAGGTGTATTTCCAATTTCAGGATATATCCCAGTGAAGTTGGAGATTCCTATGGAGTCTTTAGGTGTAGATATATAAGGGAGTTAACTCTTGCCTTTCATCTCGCTTTACACCTCAAGTTACAAAAATATCAGCAATGGCGTGGAGATCATTTTAACTCTGGATACTCAATCTGGAAACTTAACCATTGCTACAAGGTGGTTGATATTACCATCTCTTTATTGCTAAAATCACTGTATTATATTGCCCTTGAATGTACACTGTAATAACGTGATTTGTATTAATTTGTAAAATTAGTAAATTTTAGAATACAGTTGTTAATTTCAAGATGTTGCTTTGTTGGTTGTCGGTTTCACGCACAGCCCTTATACAGGTGCCAGGTTAACTACTGCACGTAACAATACATAAATATCACACCTTTGTTCCTCTGTTTGAGTTTCCTTTGCTTGTGTTTCTATCCTGAAAATTAGATAAAAACATTTGAGTGCATCCTTTAAGTAGCTTCTTTGGTATACACTAATAGAATAACGCAGAATTTTGAAATTAAACATCATGATTAATTTATATACACGTATATTCATGCCACACCTTTCTTTCTCTGTTGGAGTTTTCTTTGCTTGTGTTTCTTTCCTGAAACATTAAATAAAACATTTGAGTGCAACCTTTAAGTAGCTCTTTGGTGTACACTAATAGAATAACGCGGAATTTTGACATTAAACATCATGATTAATTTATATACACGTATATTCATGCCACACCTTTCTTCCTCTGTTGGAGTTTTCTTTGCTTGTGTTTCTTTCCTGAAAAATTAAATAAAAACATTTGAGTGCATCCTTTAAGTAGCTCTTTGGTGTACACTACTAGAATAACGCGGAATTTTGACATTAAACATCATGATTAATTTATATACATCGTATATTCATGCCACACCTTTCTTCCTCTGTTGGAGTTTCTTTGCTTGTGGTTCTTTCCTGAAAAATTAAATAAAAACATTTGAGTGCATCCTTTAAGTAGTTCTTTGGTGTACACTACTAGAATAACGCGGAATTTTTGTCATTAAACATCATGATTAATTTATATACACGTATATTCATGCCACACCTTTCTTCCTCTGTTGGAGTTTTCTTTGCTTGTGTTTCTTTCCTGAAAAATTAAATAAAAACATTTGAGTGCAACCTTTAATTAGCTCTTTGGTGTACACTACTAGAATAAACAGGAATTTTGATATTAAACATCATGATTAATTTATATACACGTATATTCATGCCACACCTTTCTTCCTCTGTTGGAGTTTTCTTTGCTTGTGTTTCTTTCCTGAAAAATTAAATAAAACATTTGAGTGCAGCCTTTAATTAGCTCTTTGGTGTACACTAATAATAGAATAAAGAGGAATTTTGACATTAAACATCATGATTAATTTATATACACGTCTATTCATGCCAAACCTTTGTTCCTCTGCTTGAGGTTTCTTGTCTTCTGTTTCTACCCTGCAAAATAAAATAGAAATATTTTAGTTCCTCATTTAATCAGTTCTTCGGTGTACAGTAATAGAATACACAAGAATGTTGATGTTAAACATTATGATTATTTCCTTATATTCATGTCATACCTCTGTTCCTCTGCTTGATTTTCCTTGGTTTCTATCCTGCAAAGTTAAATGAAAAACTGAATGCATCAATTAAATACCTCTTCGGTGTACAGTATTAGAATTCACAAGAATGTTGATATTAAACGTCATGATTTCTTTAAATATATTCATGTCATACCTCTGTCCAACTGCTTGACTTTGCTTATCCTTTGTATAAAAGAAAAACATTTCATCATATTGTTAGTTCCTCGGTATACAGTAATAGAATAAACAGGAATGTTGATATTAAACGTCATGATTTATTTACCATTCGATCATTGACACTGAAAACGGCAATACGGTAAAGTATTTATCAATAACTTAGCTGGAGGTTCGAAAAGCTTTATCCTTTGTACGGACTCGTAAAGAATGTAAATTATGCAGCCATTATTACAAAGAAGTTAGACTCAATTCAGGTGTGTAAGCATATTTGGAGAATCGTCCGACTAGTGCATCGTCCTACCAAGAGTTCCATATCGACCACCCGTGAAGGTCCGGGTTAGAATGAACCTTCAGTAACCCATGTTTGTCGCAAGAGGCGACTAACGGGTCAGGCTCGCTGGCTTGGTTGACACATGTCATCGGTTCCCAATTGCGTAGATCGATGCTCATGCAGTTGATCACTGGATTGTATGGTCCAGACTCGATTATTTACAGACCGCCGCCATATGGGTGCAATATTGCTGAGTGCGGCGTAAAACTAAACTCACACTCACTCCAGATCGACCAGCATAGTACTTCAGCCACATGATAGCCCAGTGGTTGAAGTGTTTACTCGTCACGCCAAAGATCCGGGATCGATTCCCCATATGGGCACAATGTTTGAAGCCCGTTTTCCGTGATATTTCTGGAATATTGCTAAAAGCGGCGTAAAACTAAACTCACTCAGTCAGTCACTCTGCCACGATTCGTTACATCGTACCCATACTGTTCTAGTATTGTAGATGTTTTACATCTGTTTCATTTTTAGAAAGACACTACATCAAAGTAATCACATGTCAACTTTCGTTCAATATCATCGATAAACAGGAAAAGATATTTCTATGCGCCATTATCCTTTGTTTACTTTTGTTGTTAGGCTCATGTATAACATGCACTGTCGCAGTTGTCGTAGCATATCTTTATAATTATGCGGGGCGGTGGGTTAGCCTAGTGGTTAAAGCGTTCGCTCGTCACGCCGAAGTCCCGTTCGATTCCCCACATGGGTAAAATGTGTGAAACCCATTTCTGGTGTCCCCGCCATACTGTTGCTGGAATATCGCTAAAAGCACCGTAAAACCATACTCACTCACTCCCTTATTTAAAATTATGCAAAACGCTCAGAAATGTGTGTTTGGTTTGCAGGGTGCGCACACACCCACCCACCCCTTTGTACTGAAAGTTTATTAAATGACCATTGAAACTCGGGTGAAAATGAAGTGTGCACCCTCCCTTTTCTCAATAGTGTCCATCCCCTTCCTCAAAAAGCTGTATCCGCCCCTGCATAACTTTTAACACCCACAACTTTCGTCACATAATATGTTTCTGTTTTTGCTATTCTCTTAGTTTCGATTATTTTCTCAGAGCAACTATTATTTTCCCGATATTTCAATTATTTTCTTGCTACTTCGATTAGTTTCCATTTTTTCAGCCCCATATTCTATCATTTACACCAAGATAAGTGACAAAGTACCTGGGAATGTGAACTGTTTTGCTCACCGGAACTATACATACCAGGCATATATTTTATACTTACAAAAGACGCTTTACAAAACTTCTCATCCGATTTTGACATTTCACTTTGAATTACTGTCCGAGTTTGAAAATTCCTATAATATGAATTAGTGACAGAACTTAAGATTAACCTCTCGTTGAAGACTTTTATAGCTGTACCATGTCGTTGAGAGAACGGTCGAAACTATATGGATCTTAATCATTGCTGTAGAGAAACTCCAGCCCGTGTCTGGTTCTGTCATGCCTAAAAACATAACATGCGAATTTAGGATTCGAACCCATTAACCTTACCCATCCGTCTCTGAATAGCCATTTACACGTTTTTCACGATTGTCCCACGCAGACTTTTGTTGGTGAAATGTACCGTACGTTTATATGGCAGTGCTTCTGTTTATCTTCAGACGTTTGACCTTTACATTTGTTTGTTTGTTTTAACCCCACATGATAACGACATGATAATGATTACCTTGAGGGAGAAGGACGACGACGACGGGGAGGCCTCATTCACAAGTTGCGTTATAAATAGGATAATAGTGAAAAGCGTTCTAAGGGACATAACGTTATGGGGTTCGCTTGAAATAATTATCGGCCGGTAGAGGGCGCGAGAGTCGATTTAATGCAACGTTGCATGATTTCATTCGAACTTTTTAATTTAATATTGCAACCTTAATAAATGTGTATCTATTTTTGGAATAAACTATATGGTAGCTTCCCCGAGGGCTGATAGTTAGTATTACTGAGAGAAATGCATTATGTATTTTTAGAGAAATGTGATGTGACATTGTGCCTTTAAATATAAACAGAGGTATGAGAAATAGCAAAAAGACATTGTCACTCTTGTGAGCCGAATGTGAGCTTTTATTCTTCAACCCGATAAAATACTATGATTTCAATACGCTATTTCTCTACACCTTTAATAACATTTTGATACAAAGTCAATGCTAAGTATCACCAAATTTGGTAGATCAGTTTCTAGGATGTATACTCAGAAGCGAAAGTTATGGTGACATGCATATTACTTTTCCATTTTAGGGAAATGTTGTGGATAGCGGGTGCTACATTTAAGACAGGATATGCTTACCCTTTTGGGGAACACCTGGTGTCATCTGATATGAACTAATGTACACATTTGGTGCTTTGGTATCGTTTCCCAAAAAGCAGGAACGTTAATACTCTGAAATGTGTTTTGTTTGTGACATACAAGTCATACAAGTCATACAAATCACAAACATCAACAAGTCGACTGTTGGTAGGGTTATCTCTCATTTGACAGACACCCAGTTGGCAGACACTGAGCAAGAAGGTTAATTAGGGTAACACCTACGGGTAAGTCCACAGTCTAGTGAGTGGAGGAGGCTGAGGTTCGTTACTGAGAAGCTTGGTTTGGTTGAGTGTAAATAAAACTTTGTTGTGATTAAATGATAATCTGTTTTCTCTTCTCGAAGTTGTTTTACTATCAAAATATTATCGAATAGAGGTTTGTCACTGTGTTTACACAGAACTTGGTCGCCGATTAATGATAATGTGTCTTCTCTCCTCACTTTGTTTTAGTATCAATTGATCTTTGTATGAGGAAAGATCTTAAGAGAGAGTTTTACATCTGTTTTTAAAACAAGGATTAATTAATTAATTTTGTCTATATACTAATTTTAAATTTCACGCAAGAAATATATAAACTTGTGAAAAGCATATATGTTCGATATCAATATGGCTGGAGTGCGGAGAGTGGAGTATCTGATGTCACAGAGAGGGGGCCCTCAAATTGTTCTGGATGGTTATGTTTACACCAGAAATAAGGTCAGACAGACCTGCACCCACTGGAGATGCATCGTCAAGACCTGCACGGGGAGGTGTTCTTTCACCAGCGTCAGCAATTCTCTGTACAGACACCGCCGCAAGACCATGCCAGCGTTACCTACCACCCTCCGAGAAGTGGATTTGGAAGACAGTTGGACAGAGACAAGTGATGGACGTCGTTTCCTTCTTCTTTCTGATGGAGAACAAGACAAGATCCTAGTGTTCTCTACCACTGAACAGCTCCAGGTGCTGCAGACCGCCGATACCATCTACATGCATGGTACTTGCCCTGAGCTTTGGGATCAGGTTTACATAATTCATGCCCGTTGCAACTCTGTGTCATACCCCTTAGTCTTTGCCCTTCTGCCTGATCGTCAAACCACCACCTACGTTAGACTGAATCGTCCCCTGGCCCCAGCAAAAATACAGACAGATTTTGAGCTTGCCACCATCCGAGCCATCGAGATGGAATTTCCAAATGCAGAGACCAAGGGATGCTTCTTCCACTTCTCCCAAGCCCTGTGGAGGAAGACACAAGATCTAGGTCTCACAGTTGCATACAAGGAGGATCCAGCAGTAAAAGAGTTCATCAGGAGAGCAGCTGCCCTTGCCTTATTGCCACAAGATCAGGTTCAAGACACCTGGATTGATGCCATGGACTCCTCCCCAGCCTCTGACCGCATTGAGGACTTCAAGGATTACATGGTCGTCACATGGGTGGACTATGACGCCCGATTCCCACTGTCACTTTGGAACCATCACAGCAATGTAGGACCGAGGACCAACAACAACTTGGAAGGTTTCCACAGTCGGATGAACAGATCTCTTCCACACCGCCACCCCAACATATTTCGCTTTGTGGAAGTAATTCGGAGGATCGAGATGGCTGACAGAGCCAAGCTGAGACAACTCGACTTTGGGGCTGCTCCTCCAAGTCGCAAGCGAGTCTACAGAGAGATCGACAACAGGATCCTGAGGCTCAAAGACACACTGAGTCGCGGCGAGAAAACTCCTCTTCAGTTCCTAGGTGTGGTGGCCAACCTCATAAAACTTGGCTAACAAGACATGAACTTTACTGGACTTGCTATAACTAAGCTTTAATTAGGTCTATAAATACAGATAAAATATTGCTATGTCAAAGATATATCTACTTGAAGCTACTGTGCTACTATTATGCATTGTTATTTGAAAAATATTATATC